TTACATCTGTATTAACAACATAAAATAAAAATTAGTTTCTAAAATTTCAAGTAAATTTCTAGTAAGATTTTACAAATCTTCATTATTTCTTTATGACATTAAACATACCTCTGATCTGCATTTACTAGCTTCATGATAATATAGATCAAATCCAGGTGTGGATTTCTTAGGTAGGCTGTGATCTCAGCAAGCAAATGGAAATACTTTTGGGAAATTGAAAGAAAGAGAGGGAGAAAGGAAACGCATGTATGTACATGCACATATATGCATGTAACACATCTGCCTGGGGTGGGAGAGACTTGGTCCACCCATGCTGGAAGACATGTTATCTACTACTTGATAGCAATTGATTTTCTTCCAGAAACTTTCGGGAGGTTGGAAATAAAATCTATAGGAAAATGCAACCCATCTATGAACCTAAGAAATGATGTCTCTTTGAACTGTAGATTTAACGGAGAATAAAACCAGGTTTGATTACGAGGGCCAAGAGACTTAAATTTAAAGTTTTGGCAACTCTAAGCCTACAAGAAAAGGAAGGGCCCAGGCCTCCACCGTCAAAGCAGAAAGCTTTCACTTTCCTGGCTCTGTTGCACACCATTAAGATTGGAGAGCAAGGAAAACAGATGACAGGGTACTCAGTCGCTTCATGCAGGCTCGGCTTCTGCCTCCTTGGCAGGCCACTCTCTCTGTGTCACAGGGCAAAGTTTAGTTAGTCACTGGCTCTGGAAGGCTGCACAAAACTAGGTCTTCCAGCTGCTCTCTTCTCCGAACTTTTTTTTTTTCACTGTAGGCTTGATAAAAAACAGGCAGCCTGGAGCATATGGAAATGATAACAAACACAAATGAGACCTCTCCTTTAGGTAAAAACCCAGATATTAAATTAGAGAAAAGGAGAGGCACATTTAGGCAACTTTCCCAAGACTCCTGATACCCCAAAGCAAATCCCATTGTGAATAAATTCTAGGGGACCATCTTGGGCCTTAAATATGCAGTTTGGCTGGTAGTATAATGGATGTCCATGAAATAAATGCCAACTGTGCCCTTCATTTACCATTAGGCAAATTCCACCTGATCAGACATAGGATTTTGTATGAGGGCATGAGGAACCTCCATTTCAGCAAATAGCCACATTAGCCATACTCAGAAGCCTACTCTCCTGACTTGACTCTCTTTCCCCCACCCCCATATTCCCCCATTTTTTCAGTTTTCTTTTATGTGTGGTCTTCCTTCTTTGAAATCTAATCTTCAGGGTAGATACTGTCTTTTTTCTTGTAGTTGTGTTCCAGTGATTAAAACAATGCCTTGAACATACTAAGTGCTTAATAAATGTTCTATCAGTCTATTGATCGATCTACATATCAATCAGTCTGTCTATCCATAAAATCCCATTCCTATAAAGTACTCAGTAAGGACAACAAGCAGGCCTCCATTTTATCCTGCCATCCTGGACACCTAGCTTTTCATAGCTTTAAGCGCTTCAAAGTAGGGACAAAAACTTTAATTCCACCTCATAAAGTTGTTTTGTTTGTTTTCAAAACAGCAAATGATGAATTCTAACTCTGGCTCCTAGGCACTAGCCCACATTCAGTTCACAAGTATTTTGAGCTTGTGATTTCCAATAGGCCTCAAAGAGGGGTAGACTGAGGTTTATTCCATTTACTCATGAATTTTTCAACCATCTAGTTTTTAAGATAAAAAAAATGCATCTTTATTTCCTCTGGTTTATCTGCCTTTTAACAGGGGATGTGCAAAACCTACTGAGGAAGCCCATTCAACTTTTGGATAGCTCCAATCATTAGGGAAAAAAAAAATTTTGACATTAAACCCCAATGACTCTTCTTTGCTGCTCATACACTTTTCTCTTAGTTCTGTCCTCTAGGACTAGGTTGAACAAGCCTCCCACATGACACCCTTAAAACACTTGGACAAGGCTGTCATATCATTCACTCTCCTAAATCTTTTCCTCAAGCTAAACATCTCTAATTGCTTCAATGGGTCTCTATTCTGGCCACTTTCCTCGCAAACTTTCCATTTTATCAACTGTCTTCCTAAAATGAGACACCTACAACTCAACAAAATACTTCAGGCACAGCCAGATCAGAATAGTACCCTAGAACTATTCTTCGTCATCCTGGACATTGCAGTTCTTAACGTAACTTAGGAATGAATGAGCTTTTTGGCTGCCATGTTAAATAGTTGACTCATATTGAACTGGCAGTCCATTAAATTCACCAAACTTTTTCAGGTAGGTTACTTATCTAGCCATTGCTCCCCCATTGTGTACTTATGAAATTTGTTTTAATTAAAATGTAAGCCTTTACCTTTATTCCTATTAAAAGCCATCTTATTGGATTCAGCCTCACATTCTAGTTTATCAGGATAATAACAGCTAACACTTACATAGCACTTACTATGTGCTAGGCACTATGCTAAGAACTTTACAATTATTACCTCAGATCCACCAATCTACCCAGGGTGGTAGATTTAATTATTATTTCAATTCAACAGACAAAGACTCTGAGACAAACAGAGGTTAAATGACTTACCCAGGGTCATATAACTAGCAAATATCTGATACTGAATTTGAACTCACCTTCCTGACTCTGGATACTTAACTACCCTTAAGATCCTATGTAACATTTAGTTATACCTCCCAAATTTGATATATACTGTTTCTGCCCTTGATTGATGGATGAAAATTGGTGAAAATGGCAAAAAAAAATCATAGTGAAAAAAATTATACATGGGCAGTCAACTAGAGATCTTCCAAAAGCTGACAAGATAAACAATATATCTCCATTTTCTCAGTAGGTTATGTGGGGCTATGAATATGGAATGTAGTATATGCTATCAGGTACCTATCAGATATAGCTACTATATTGGTGCCTTTGTTGATTTTGCTTAAGTGTTTTTCTTCCTTTACAAGGGAGGGTTCAATAGAGAAAGGAATTAAGGTAATGTAATGAGGGTGTAAAAACAAAAAGCAACAATGAAGTATTTTAAAGTTGAAATTGAACCACGAATGACTAATCTTTGCTTCTGGCTTTTCAGCTAGTTATCAAGCCCAACTATCATCTAGGCTACAGCTCTCTATCTTTTGCACAAGCTTGAGAAAATAGGTGTTTGCTTCTCTACTCCATGCTAGGAGAGCCAAGGAATCTCAAGTTTCTTCTCCCTTCTCCTGGGCAGCAGACGTGATGGCCATAGCACTGATAATGATGGGGCATAAGCCCAAGACACACATCTCCTTTCATATGCATGGACACATGTATGTTTGGATGTCAGGTATGTCATGTTTTGATTGATTTTAGAAATAAGGAAGAAAGGCTGATATACTACTACGTCTAGTATGAAAAGTGATCATGGCATGTGTGTGGTAAGTGTATTTTTTTCTAATTTTAAAAAGGTTGCAGAAGGGTACAAAGGATTTCAGGAAAATGCCCAAAAGAAGATAACCAGGAAAACACTCTGACTCAGTATCCCCAAACTGTAGGGAAGGAGATGAGTCAACATCAAGCCAGGGCACCTGACACCAGCATAGGTCCTAGAAGTGGGAGACACTCCTCATATACTCTTTGCTGCCTCATTGTCACATTGATTCTAATTCCTCCCTTCTTCCTGGTACCCAAAGTTCCTCACGGGGAAGCAAATGGTAGGTCTGTGATTTAAAGAAGTTGCTTGCAGATTGTTAGAAACAAATATGGCCTTATTAAGATTTCAGAGTACAACTCAGGAATATGATCTCCCCTCTTACATTCTCTTAAGGGAAAGGTATCATTTTAGCCATAGTGTCTATGTGAGTAGACAATGCTTTAAGAAAGAGTCTATTAGTGGGTCATTTAACAATTTCCAAAATAGTAGCAAAACTGTCTCCATTAAAATAAATAACTACCTAGGAAGAAGGTCTTTATTATGTTTCAGAACTTGCTTTCTTAATTAGGAGCAGATCCTAGTAGCTGAGATTTATTGGTTGCTTTTTTTAAAGGACATGTTTTCAGGAACTGAAAATTTCTTGACATGCTATAACATCATGTACGTTTTTCAATTCTGCATTCCTACTTGAGGCAAAAAAGAAAAAAGAAACCAAGAATTTTCATGCTGGTTTTGATTTCGGATTCAAAACAGGACCTACAATGTACATTTTTTCATTGTTCCAAAACATGCATGAACTGGTTTAAAATCCACAGGACCCCCTCAGCCATGACAGTAGAAGGAAAACAGAATAAGATACAAATTCAGATCTTAACAACATCAACAAGATTATCCTTCTTACTCTGAAATATGAAATCCACACTGAATTTCTTTCTAGTCTCAAAATTTAGGAATGTATTTATTGGTTCCCTCCCTCAAAAAAAAAAAAAAGGAGTGAAAAGGGGTCGGGGAATGAGCATACATGATACCTGCTTTCCCCCTGTGTTCAAAGCCCCTCTATTAGCTTGTTTACTTCTTATAGAAAGTGATTGTACTCTATTGCATTTCCAGGACCCCCCACAATTAGGATTGGCATGTTGAGGGTGGCATTAATTTTAACTAAATTTTACTACAAGCAAACTATTTGGGAAGCCCTTTCCCACCTTTTCAGTCTTCTCACACCTGGGGAACTCTCAGGAGGCCAATATGGCCTCCTGAGAGTTCCACCAACAAGACACTTCATCTCTCATCTCTAAACATTCTCTTTGGCTGTCCCCCATGCCTGGAATGCTCTTCCTCTTCCACCTCCCCAGCTGACCTTCCTGGCCCAGGAAGCCTTCCCCTGCCCCTCCTAATTCTAGTGCCTTTTCTCTGTTTATTATTTTCTATTTATCTGAATATAGCTTACTTTGTATATATTTGTTTTGATGTTGTCTTCCCCATTAGACTGTTAGCTCTTTGAGGTCAGGGACTGTCTTTTGCCTCTTTTTGTGTCTGCAGGGCTTAGTGCAGTGACACATGGTAGGCATTTAAGAAATGTTTGATTGATTGAATTCAATAACGGGACTTCATCTGTGTACTATCCTCACCTGCACAATTTATCTTCCAGTATTTCCATGTACTTCACAGTATTTTCCTTCACACTGTTCTCTGTTGGAAAAAAAAGGGTAAAGTTAATATAAGAAAGTGTATAAATTAACCTAGAGCACTCAAAAAGTAAAGATGTAAAGAGTAAAGATGTCTTATCCTATGAGGAATCCTACCCCTTCAACTTACAGATTTGAACTGAGGTTCAGAAGGGTTAATTGACTTGCCAGGTACCTTCCACATGTAAAGCGTGCTTACCTATAGTACCTCATGTTTGTGCCTCATCCAGGAGTCAAAAAGCAGGATTAGTAATTATCAGAAGATAGAAACCAATGGAAGAATCAGTAGCCATATTACTAGGAAAGTACCTGTGAGGTTCACTATTGCTAGCATTATCAGCAGAGAATTCAAATAAACAAAACATGTTTGGTCTTACTCTACTGCTCAAGGTTTGAAGGTGCATGAATTCTTTGGGGTGGGGGACACCTTTCAATTCACCAAAGACACAGTGCATCTCTGGTTGGTAGGTTGTAATTGCTGGGTATCTTGTCTCTGCATTAGGTATCACACTTCTACTTTCTACTAGACATTACACTGTCTCTTCTCAGCATCTCCACTAGTCTTGTGGTTGCCCAACTTCTCTTTACTACCACATTTTGGGTTTCTGCTCTTCAGGGTCATTGTGTGTGTGGGAGTGGGGAGAGGGCTATCAGTTCTCTGAAAGGAGGCAGTGACTAAAAAGCCTCTCCCTCACAAGGTAGATTGACAACTCTTTTAGTTTATGCCTCAGGTTATGAGTCCTACATTTAGCCACAATAAACAAAACACAGCTGGAATGCCCTCATACTAAGATTCATTATATTCTTTTGACTATTTCTGATACTAATTTGAAGCCTATGGTCCCCAAAAAACTGTATGAAGTAGAGTTAGAAAATTCCTTTTAACTCCTGTTGGATCCCCAATACAGGTCCTGTGCTTCCAGCACCCATTTTGGGTACTCTGCCCAAAAAGTTCCCACAAGAGCTGTGTAGAAGCTAAGACTACCAAGTTGGGTGGGTTGGTTGGTTGGTGGGTTGTTGTTCTTCATTCTTGAAGAGGACCAAAAATCACTCTATTAATTTTGTTGTTATCGCTCAGTTGTGTCTCTTTATAACTCAGGTTTGCTTGGCAAAGATACTGGAGTGGTTTGCCATTTCCTTCTCCAGCTCATTTTACAGATGAGGAAACTGAGGCCAACAGGGTTAAGTGACTTGCCCAAGATCACACAGCTAGTAAGTGTCTGAGGCCAGATTTGAACTCAGGAAGATGAGTCTTCTGACTCTAGGCCCAGCACTCTATCCACTATGCCACCTAGCTGTCCCAAGCCTAGTTGCCTGCTAACACCCTCCTTGAATATCAATGGGAAAAAAGTTTAGCAAGAACAAAAGGAAAGTAAAGCAGGTCAAACAACTGCCTCACCTCCCTGCCCCCCACCCCATCTTTATTCACATTCCTGTTTTATTATACATATCTGCCAACAACAACAAATCTCTGGCTTTTGCTCTGTCTTCTGGTTAGCACAATGACATAGCAATATACCTGAGTGGGTGGGGGTTTTTTTGTTTTTTTTTTTTTAATTAGAACAGCATTCTCTAGAGGTCACTTTGAAAATACATTCCTGAAGACAAATCCTTTCCTCATTCAACCACCTGAAGCTCCAGTGAATCTTTGGTATCACTTTCACTAGACTAACATAAAAAAAGCACAGGTAACTTTGTGTGCCAAATGTCTGCCATCCTTCAGGTTAAAACATTTTGAAAATGTATTCTATTTTACTTACTAGCAGTGTGATCATGGGCAAGGTAGATCATCTCTCTGAGCCTCAGTTTCCTCATTTGTAAAATCAGGATAATAATATTTAGACTACTATCATACAGGATGGTTTTTGAGGAAAGCACTTCATAAACCTTAAAATACTAAGCAAATATAAGTTATTATTTCTTCAAGCATTAGGCTTGAAATATTACTTTGGGGCAAAAAAACAGAATCTATTCCACAATCCAAGGTCTCAAAAGTAAAAACATACATTTAAATTCCTCCAGACATTCACATGAGGCAGCACAATATTATTATCTCAATTTAGGTGGAGAGAGTTAGACATATTGTTCTAAGTCAATGTTTATTGACTGACTAACTCCCCATGGAGGGAACAATGGTGACCTAGAACTATTGCAAACCTGGTTTTTTTCTTCTTCTTTCCTCATTTGTTTCTTCCCTTTCCTCCTTCTTCTTCTTTCCTCTGTCTATTCCTTAAATACTTTCATGCTCTTCATCTTTCATACCTGACCAGGCATCTATAAGACAGTGGTTCCATGATTGTGTATGTATAGGCATCAATTTTAGGACTCAATGGAATGAGGACAAGTCATTTGGGTCAAGTTCTATGACTCCACAATGGAGTTGAGAGTAAAGAGAACATGGTAGTCAGTGGGGTTCTGAGGCTGTAGGCAATTCTTGGGTGAGAGGGAAGTTGTCTTAATCCCTTCTCTCATTTTAAATATTCATTCATTCATTCATTCATTCATTCAATCAATAAAAAGTAGTAAGAGCCTGTTGAGTGCAAAGCACTCACTGTCCAAGGTACTGTTTTATACGTAGATGTTTTATATTTTAGGTAAGATACCCAAGGGAATGACAGCCATAATATACATGATTACATGATAAGTGCATTAGAGAGTTTCAAAGAAAAGTGCTATGTGAGGTGTGAGGGAAATGTGAAGAGGAAGGGAAGCATTTGTTTGGTAAGACTACAGAGGGGCCTGTGCCATACAAAACTGGTGCCCAATAATATAAAACACTTTAAAGACCACAGAGGTATAGTAACTACCATACTAGTCTGGTGCAAAAGTATCTTTGAAGTGAACAGAAATCTTACTGCACCAAGTCAAATTAAGTCCACAAACATTTTATTACAACAAAAGGTAAAAGGCCCTGCTCTCAAGGAGCTCACATTCTAGTGTCACTTTATAAAAACATATGCAAGATTATAAGATAGACAGTTGGAAGTAGTCTTGAAAGGAAGGCACTGAGATGAAGGGAGATGAGAAAGTCTTCTTGAAGAATGTCAAACTTTAGCTAAGATTTGAATGAAGCCAGAGAAGACAGCAGACAGGAATGAGAAAGGAGAGTTCTAGGCATATGGCACAGCCAGTGAAAAATCTCCAAAGATTTTCTCTAATTACTCACCTTAACTAGTATTGTAAGAGAGATTGTGACAAGAGGAGGTACAGTTTACTTTGGAATCAGGATGATTTGGGTTCATTCTTGGCCCTAACATCTAGTAGTCCTGTGACCTTGGTCAACTCAACCTCTCAGTGTCCCAGACAACTCTTGTTTGCAGTGAGTAGAACTGGGTCTACACTCAGGAAGACCTGGAGTTCAAATTCAACTTCAGACTCTTACTAGCTGTGTAATCCTAGGCAAGTCATTTAACCAATCAGAGAGGTAAAGTGATATACTTAATGAGTATCCTTGCCTGAAGTCTTTTCCTTGGATAACCCATCATCCACTAAACTTTCAAAGTAATTATTCTTATAGTATAAGTCTGATCATATCCCTCTCTTGCTCAGTAAACTTTGGTAACTCCCTCTAGAATGAAAAGACAAATTCTTCATCATGAACTGAGAAGTACCACACATATTGAGAACCTGGGATCCTCCTACACTGTCCCAGTTGGGGCTTAGAAGAAGAGCCTAGCCTGTAGGGAGAAGGAGGAATGAAGACACGGTACAAGCATGATAGCCTGGCAAGAGGGTAATGAGGGCACGTGTGCAGTTATCATGGTAATCCGATTAGTACCTAAAGCTGTCAGCACTCAAGGAAAGTTTCCCCCTAGTTAAACTTAAATTTATAAATTCCTTTCAACTCTATCAAGTCCCAACCTCTCATTTTCTGATGCATAAACTGAGGTTCAGAAAAGTAAAGTGATTTATTCGATGTTGTACAACTGGTCAATAGCAGTACTGGCTCAAGAATCCTGGTTTCATTATAGGTAAAAAGTTAGGTTTCTGTTATTGTTTGGGTGCATGTTATCAGTCACCATTCCATATATTCTATTGGTTGTATTTTTTCTGTAGCATCTAGTTTCTTGAAGGTAGGATTATGTCTCTTCTTTCTTTGTTTTCCAGTACTTACAATGGAATTGTAGCTCGAGCTTTCTTTTTTAAAAATTTTATTTATTTTATTCTGAACTTAAGACATAAAACAAGCATTTCCATAACACAGCAGAATGGGGGTGTGGAGATGATTGTACATGAAATTGCAAATCGATTATGTACAACTTGCTATTCCCTTTAAATATACAATAAAGTTATCACGTAACTTTCTTTTTTTCCCTTTTTTCTTCCCTCCTTCTCCCCTCCCCCAGCAATATCATTCTCAGTACAAAAATTAAAAGTTGGATCAGGCTAAGTGGAGGCAAGGGCAAAAAGGTTTCCTTGTATTATTTTCCTTATACAATAAGAAGGCTCAAGCATTTGTCATGATAATAATTCAGGAAATGAGGACTAGTCAGGCTGACACTATCAGATTAACAAAGTAACTTCTGGGAACCCCATCACCACCATCACCAATTAATAACAGAATGACCACAGGGACCTTGGTACTATACTAGACCTGAAGAGGAAGCCACCAAGGGCATCTCACTTTATCATTGATCACTGAATACTGACTGAGCATGAGACATTTTCCAGGACAAAAAAAAAAAGTCTCTCAAATGATGCACCTTGAAAATGAGGCACAGCCCCATCTTCTCAAGGAAAACAGTTCTCAGATTTCAAGAGACCTTGTGGATCAATTTGGATAAAATTAGCTTTATTTTAATGGAAACTCCTAGCTAAACAAAGGAGATGAAGGGAAAAGGAGCCACCCCAATGGAATCGTCAGAAATTTTTGAAATCAGCAAAGCTATATTGTTCTGCATTTGAATGCAGAGTGATTTGATAGCAAGATCTTTAGTTCATTTAAGGAATGGAACCAGACATGGATATTAGCTGTTGAATATAAGTCTGAAGTCTAGGTATAAT